TTCTCTCAGTAATTATATCTACATTAATTTCATGTTAAATCTTAATTTTGAATACAAATTTAAATGCAAGAATTATTTCAATTCGTACCAATAGCTTACTCAGAAATTATGTAAAACCATAGTTCTTTACTTCGCTAGTGCATGCTCATTAGAATTGATGAATTCAACCCTTGATTTTGCCTTTTCTATATTTTCGCCTTTGAGTGAGCGGTGTGACTGCATCCTAATTGACTTAATTACCATGAATGTGTGACATATATATGAGCCAGTTTCCCTTAGAAAGTCCTCCACGAAGGCATCTCTCCCTTAAGGCAGATAGCCCTCGAATGCTTTGCCGTAATCTAATAAACCAAACCAAACTTAATTACCGCGAATGGTCTTAGGGCATAAAATTTAATTATCTTTGTAAATATTCTATGTAATTGTATGCCAGTATAGAAAGAAACAATCAGTCTGGTAAGAAATGGCTGCAACTTGTTTTGAAAATGAGGCGTAAAAATGTTACCAGCGAAGATATTCCGTTTGGCGTCAGTTGTACCATTATTGGCGACTTTATCGTTTGCGCCAGCAAAACGGGAAAAGTACCTTTTCTAATTTTGACTATGCGTAATGTATGCTTTACGTATGCGCGCGTTGAAAGAAATGTTTAATAAAGAAAACAAATAAATATTAAGCTTTTTTATTTTTGTAAATTTTGATACCCTTTAGATCATAATTGCTCTTTATTTCATAAATTACGGTTTCATATTTTTAATTTTATAATTTCTGCATGCCATCTTACCAGATTTAAATTGATGATCTATAATCCGGAATCGCCGAAGTCCCGACGAGTCCGGATTAAAGACTTTTGACTGTACCTATGCAGGAAATAGTGTTCTTGTATGGGTAGGAATATCTTTAGGTGGGTGCACAGATCTACTGTATGTGCTATGACATGGAATTCTCAATGCTGATTCCTGTTTATCCATATGCTGCTGCAATTGGCAATATCTTCATTTCGCAAGCATATAATATCTGCCCTCACACTACTTGCCTCATGCACCAATTTCTTGAAGAAAAAATTTTAGTCCAAATGGAATGGCCAGCATGCTCTCATGACCTTGACCCCATTGAACATGTGTGGGACTAGAGCCCTAGATGAGGTTGGAACTACTTTACAAGATTAATGGGCATTGCTACCCATGCAGTTGATTGTCATCATCATAAAGAGTAAGCGACATCATTTTCAGGCCTGTATTGCTGTTCAGGGTGATCATACTTACCACTGAGAAGACTTTTCATGTTTAATTTCTATGCCTAAATTTAGGAAATTTTATGTTCCTGCTGATATCACAAAATATACATACTCTATAATATTTTCTTGTATTTTTAAAATACAAGTTGTATAATAAATATTATCATGGCTTTCTGTCCAATTTCCTTGCATACTCTTTGAATTTTCATAAATTTTTCCATAACTTTTAGAAACCAGTGCATAACAAAAAATAAGGCATGTACCAACAAGTAATTTGTAATGGACATTTGATCAATGAAAAGTTTTTCTGAATGTGTATAAGGTATGTGCATACACATTACATGAGCAATGGTCATAAGTGTTTGTTTTTGTTACACTGAATGCACTTCTTTTCATGTAAGGAATTATAATGGGACAGTACAATTTGCCAACAGATGAAAAAAAAATGTATTATATATATATATATATATAAAATGTTGTATGATGTTAAATCCATTTAGTGTGAATACAAGTTATTACTACTTGCACAATTGCTGCAAAGTTAGTTAATAATAATTTATTTCCTAAACAGTATTGATTAATTGATTATATTATCTCCTAAGTTTAATTAAAGTAGAATTATTTTAAAAGTGTGAATCCATACTGGTAAGTTATATTTTGAAAGATGTTTTGAAGTAATTTGAAAGCAAAATGTTTAATAATGTTTTAACGGGGACTGGAGTTAAATCATCATGAAGAATAAAATTTCAATTGTAAAAGGAAAAATTAAAACATGTAATCATTGTCATTGATCGAAAATAGTTGACTTTTCAAGGGGAACAAACCAACTCCCGTTCAATGAACAATAATTGATAAAAATACGTAAATACGAAAGTGTTTCGTCTTTACTCGAGTTATAAGTTAAAGCCAAACCGGCAATTCTAGTCAGGCCAAATATTTCCGCGAATAGAAGGAATTATGAACCAATGCTGATACTCAAAGAACTTATTCTTATGAAGCATTTTAGTCAATTCAATTTGGAGTAAAAATCAATTACTGTAGAGAAATCCTATTTAACTCGAGTAACCGTCCCCGACACTTTCATGTTTATGCATTTGAGTACTATATTATTTGTAGAAATTAAACATTGGAAATTGTCATTATGAAATCGAATTCAAAGTAAAAGTTGAAATAAACATAGAAGATTACAAAATAAGATAAATAATGCAAAACTTTGTAAAAACAAACAATCAAAGACAATATAAAATAATATAGAAAATAATATAAATAAGATCAGTGAATGTACATGAAGATATAAAGGCCAGAAATGGTATCTTATTTTGTAATCTTCTATGTTTATTTCAACTTTACTTTGAATTCGATTTCATAATGATAATTTCCAATGTTTAATTTCTACAAATAATATAGTACCCAAATGCATAAACATGAAAGTGTCTGGGACAGTTACTCGAGTTAAATAGGATTTCTCTACAGTAATTGATTTTTACTCCAAATTGAATTGACTAAAATGCTTCATAAGAATAAGTTCTTTGAGTATCAGCATTGGTTCATAATTCCTTCTATTCGCGGAAATATTTGGCCTGACTAGAATTGCCGGTTTGGCTTTAACTTATAACTCGAGTAAAGACGAAAACTTTCGTATTTACGTATTTTTCAATTATTGTTCATTGAACGGGAGTTGGTTTGTTCCCCTTGAAAAGTCAACTAATTTTCGATCAATGACAATGATTACATGTTTTAATTTTTCCTTTACAATTGAAATTTTATTCTTCATGATGATTTAACTCCAGTCCCCGTTAAAACATTATTAACATTTTTACTTTCAAATTACTTCAAAACAAACATCTTTCAAAATATAACTTACCAGTATGGATTCACACTTTTAAAATAATTCTACTTTAATTAAACTTAGGAGATAATATAATCAATTAATCAATACTGTTTAGGAAATAAATTATATATATATATATATATATATATATATTATTTTTTTTTTTTTTTTTTTTTTTTTTTTTTTAAGGAGGAGAGGAGGACAAATTAACTGTTTTCATACCAATCTCAGAGATCTCCACTTTTTTGGTTTCATCTTCAATCATAAGATTTTTTTTAGTTTTTGATACCTGATTTTTTTTCCTCTTGGAAATTTTAGTGTAATTGTTGAAGTCTTCTTGTTTCAAAAACAACCAGGAACCCCTTACAAAAAATTTGGTACTTCTTTGTTATAGCTGCCCTCAACCATATTTGGCGATTTTAAATTTGAGCCAAGATCTCAGCTATAACTTCGCCGAGCTCGTGAAGCAAGAATGCAAAAATAAACAATAATAACAATAATTTTCATATGTCATTTTCTATGAATATTTTTTAGAATCCCTATCTTTATCTTTTTGTTGTTTGTTTTCTTTAGCTGCACAGACCATACAGTAATTAGGGAAGCCTGACTGAGAAACCGAAGGGCCTGACTTCGGATCCCGCAGAAGACATGGATGTAAAAATGTCTGTCCCTTCGTAGGAGGCAATGGTGGCCCACTTGTTAGGTGCCTCTATAATAAAGAGACCATCCCATCTGGCCTTAGGAGTGGCCGATGAATAGGCAAGTGCCCACCACTGGGGGAAAAAAAATCTTTATCTTTTTATTATAATTTTATCCCATGTAATCGTTCCAGCCAACTGCAGCACTTTCACACATATTAAGCTGTTTGTTACACTAATTCATGGATGTCAATTCCTCTGCCCAAGAATACATAAATCTAACAGCAGTGACAAACGATATTCTGGAGCCACTGAAACAATTTCTAACATGGAGGCCTTTCTCTTTAACATTGTACCTCCAAATGGTTTCACCGTTAACATAAAAGTTTCATATTGTGGCCATTTTTGCATGCTTGTTTGTCAAGTAAAAGACCTCTTTCTATAAAAAAATGATACGGCATCCACCTCATTACTTTGTAAAATAAAGACTTAAAACACTGTGCTAAAGTATGATTACGGGGCAAGGTATAAGAACACACAGCCAGATTTTGGTGAGAAATCTCTATTGACTGCCGATTCAATCTTGGGAGCTGTTATTACAAACAAGTACCAAAAATCTTTATAAAAGCTGAGAGTCCTATAGAAATTCCTAAAGAGTTCTATAGGAATTCCTATGTAGCTCTATCAGCCTCTATAAAATTCCAATAATCTTCTGTGATCAGAACCGGATTCAGAAATGTATGTTTACATCTATGTGTGTATGTGTTCATGTATACATTTCTGAATCCAGTCCCGATATCAGAAGAGTACCAAAAATTTTTCGTAAAGAGCATTAAACACAATGCAGTTATGACCAACCAATATTGCACATAATCATACAGTTACCAAAAAAAAAAAAAAAATTAGGTATCAGGTCCTACAAAGTTACTTTTGTAGTACTTTCCATTTTATTCCACTACAACATGCTGTGTTCCTTCATGCAAACACGTTTTGAGAGTTTCATACAAATCCGTATAAAGAAGTCGTATTTCATTAGGTACGCCTGTTTATACGACTGCATGCTAATGTTAAATGATCTGTACATAACTGTACAGAATTTCGCAATATTTTTCATACTACCCCTTTTCAGAGTTTAGTTTGCGTGAATTCTGAATAATAATAATAATTGAAATAAATTTAAAAGATGTTAAATAATCAAGCCAAATAATACCTATATACATTTCAAAATAAATCTTAAGTATAAAAGTACTTCAACGTACATCTCAAATAATTACTTAGCAATTGAAAACAAACAAACCTTTTATGATGCCAAATCAAAAATGGAAATTCAGTGCCAAGCTTCACTTTTATACATAAATTGTATAAATAAATGTCAAAAAGATAGATGGTCAACTGAATGATAAAAAATATAATAACTTCCAGAGAAAAGTAAACTGATTTTTACTTTTGATAATAACTTTAATTCAAGCCACCGTAATTTCTGAAACAGCTTTTACCCAAAAAGCATTTTCTTTTAACGTATTGCTAGAAAGCAGATAGTATACAGCTCCACTCACTGCAGTTTCATGTTTATTGTTTAGAAATTTAGGTGAGCTTTGAGAAAGCGATTAGTATAAGATATAATTTGTAGAGAAATCATTATGGCATCTTCGAAGAGTGAGCTGTCTGATGCAGAAAAAGAGCTTTTCAAATATACCCAAGAACGTAATTATGAGGAAGTTAAGCGACTGTTAACTACGGAAAACGTATCTGTTGATTGTGTTGATGATGATGGTATGACACCGCTTCAACATGCCGCATACAAAGGGGATTATAAACTTTGTAAACTGTTACTAGATTGTGGTGCCGATGTGAATCTAAGTCGTCACATTTCAAAGTATAGCGCTCTTACATTTGCTGGTTTGTCTGGTAAAGTGGATGTAGTAAGCTTATTGCTTGAACATGGTGCTTCCACGACTAGTGTGAATTCGATTAATAAAACGGCTGCGCAGATGGCAGCTTTTGTAGGAAACCATCATGTTGTCAGCACTATTAATAATTTTATTCCTATTGAAGAAATTGATTACTTCACGAAGCCTCGTGGTTTGGAAAAAGAACCGAAACTTCCTTCATCTTTGTGTAATCCGCTTCATAAGATGGTAATTATGACAAATATTAATCCTGTGCGTTTAGCATTCTATATTCAACAGAATTTAGATCTCTTGAGAAATATTAAAAAAGTCAATCGGGTTCTGGAAATACTGTCTGAAAAGCAATTAAAGGAAGAAGGTAATGAATTGTTATCTCTCAAATTCCATCACCTAGCATTTATCTTAAATGCGTGTAAATCCTATTTAAATGTAGACATTGGGGCGGCTTCATGCAGAGAAATTTTATTTCCTTTAATAAAATGCTGGATTAAAGGCGATGAAAATGGTTTTCCTGTTGTTTTGGAAAAGTTACTTCGACAAGATGTTCGAGAATATCCTTATCATGATTGTAGTTTGTTTCAACAGCTTGTACGTTCCCTTGCACCCGTAAAAATTGGCGATGAACCTAGTGCTATATCTATTTTGAGTGAAGCTGTTAATGGGCAACGGGGCATAGATAATACTGTTTCCTGCTCTACTTGTGGAGAACCTGATGCTGAGAAAAAGTGTTCTGCATGTAAATCTGTTACTTATTGTGGTAAAACTTGCCAGAAGTTGCATTGGTTTACGCATAAAATGATATGTCCAAAGCTTGCTGAAATGCAGGTAAAGAAAGAAGCAGAGTTAGCTGCAGCTAAGGCAGAGCAACAGAGTTCTGAATCAGAAGTAGTGGAAGAAAAAAAAAAATGATCTTCCATTTGAGGATGGGAGTTGTGCTAAAACTAAGAATTGATGGTAATTATTTTAGTTTAGTCAGTTGCAATAACATAAAATTTTTATTTTCAGAAATTGTTTATGGAATTGGAATATTAGAGAAGTTTACATTTGCAAATAATTTTGTTCACAAAATGTATTTAATTAAACAATTAAAATTCATATATTTATCCACTTGATCTTTTAAGATGTATACCTGTTATTCAGTTTATGAACTGAACTTCTTTTGATTCCAACTGTTAACTTATTTTCATATCTAAACTTACTTGTAGAATGAATTCTTAAACTCTGTATGCATTTGTTTTTAAAGTTAATAAATACAAAATAGTTTTCTTTTTATTCACTGAAGTAAAAGTTTTTAATCAGGAATCATTTTGTGCATAGTCCCTTGTCATAAATAAATATTTAGAATGTCTAGTGCTAATCATCTATTCATTTAAATATCCTTATTTATTCATTAAAATATGTTTCTGTGTGACTATATAATAACGTTATGTGCTTAAAAATACTTTTGACATGTGTGCTTTGTTAAACATTATTTATGTATGTCCGGAAGAATAAATAAAGTGAAATTATATTAGAGTATGTTTCCTTTATTTTACTTTCAGTACTTGGTTTATAAATGCTTTATAGAAATAACTGAATCCAAGATTAAATTTTTAAATGCCTTGAAGGTTGTTCTTTACAATATGGTAACTGGTAGTTTGGCGATAAAGGTTACTACCTGGGACTTTGGTAATAATGTGAGCAGTACTCAGTTCCGATTACGCATTATTTTGCGTGAGGGAAATGAGAGATCATGGGATATGTCATGTGATATTAATGGACGAATTACGGTTCTTTAATTGGAAAAAGGGGGAAATTGGGAAAAAATCTGGAAATTTTGTATTTAGATTTATTCTGTGTTGTGTGAAACAGTGTTGGTTAATTTTTGGATCCCATGGCCCTAACTAAAGTGAATTCGAAATGGGTATTTAGGCATTGTGATAAAAGAGAAGTTTGCTTTTTATTTAGCGGAGGAAGTATGGAGGAAAAATTCGCAGAAAAAATCTTTCAATAATTTTATTGAATGAATTAGAAAAGTGTATCCGCCACGTAATCAAGATTCTGAAGAAGATTAGGTAAGTTAGTATTTTTAATTATTTGAGGATATTATTTTTATGCATTGTTCTAAATGTAAGGTGGAAAGGAATTTGGTATTATTGGGAAAATTGTTATTAGCAATGATTTAGTTTAAAGTAATTAGGATTGTAGGTAATTTTTATTAATTTAATGTATGTGCTCATTTATATTTTAAGTAGTGTTTTTGAATTTAATTATATTTTAATGAAATGATAGTTATTTTGTGAATTTTATGTTTGTAGGAATTTGGTATACGTTTTAGTTGAAGTAAACGTGCATGGAAATAATTTAAATATCTGACACTAAGTATTTGTAATGCTTGCGGTATGAATTCGTTGGCGACGTGTATAGTGTAATAGATGATTTAGAGGTAAAAGTTTTTGGATATTTTATTTATTTTATATGTGGAAATGTTCAGATTTGTAAAGGGTAAATACTTTTTCGCGATCAGGTAATTTCATATATGTTCTTTTTACCGGGTTTAAAGATTGAGAAAATTGTCATGTATTTTCGTGAAATTTTTCTAATTTATGAGAAAAAAGCAGTGTACATGGATATAGTGAAGAGTGTGCGCAATGCCATTTTTATGCAATTCTGGTATGTTTTTTTAAGTAAAAATGAGTCGACGTGTACATGGTTTATGTGTATGTGTTATTTTGAAAAACGCGTAAGGAGTATGGTATTGTGCACTTTTTCCCAATTTTGCAGTGAATATTTGTCATGATTAAGCAGTTTTGTTTGATAAAATTTCTAGCATAAGTGTAATTTGGCTAGTAGATTGTTGGAAAAAGTGTTCAGTAGATAAAAAGAAAAGAAATATGTCTTTACTTCGTGAAGACAAAATGGCGGCGGGGAAAAAAAAAATAGAGGGTTGCTGTAGGAGAGTTGGTTGCCAAATTTTCGCCAAAAAATCGCCAAGTTACCATAATGTAAAGATCAACCGCCTTGAATTTTGTCTTGAGATCAACTGAGGTAATGCCTCCTCTCCTCCCTGGCATTAAAATAACACTTCACCAAATTGTATAAAAATGTGCTAACATTTTGAATCCTTTATTTTGTTAAGTTTTCATTCACCCCATGAAATGTTGTAGTCACAACTGTAAATTAAAGCAGTTATTAAAAATGAGTGGAAGATTTTCTTCTAATACATAGAACAATTTACAGAATGAAATGAGTATACCAAATTGCGACTTGTATTTGTGTGGTAATTCCTCTTCAGTGTTGTATTATAGCATTTGTATTTCACATTTTATCTCTTGTAACTTTGCAATCTCTAAACTACTGTCATATAATTTTTTCCTAAACCTTAACTCTGGAATAAATTGCCAAGTCTTAAAGCAGAAATTATCCAAATTAGTAGTTTTTAAAACTGCGTTAAATAATGGGATAAAGCACATTTTCATCACATTGGGTTTTAAAAAGCAAGGACTATATAATAATGTATTAGTTTCAGATTTAGCTGCATTAGTTACAAAGTTTCTTGAGTATCAGTTCTTGTCCTCCTTTGAATATTTACTGAAAAATACTTCAGACAAATATGTCTAGAGTTACCTTGGAAACTGCAGTTTGATTGGACAGTTAATTAGTAACACATTGTTTCATTGAAAAAGGTGCTAAAAACACACATAATATATAAGAAGGTATTGTTATTATGATATGTATAAAGATTTGTTTAATACTGAGAGGATTATTTAGTGGCAGAAGTACAGGTCATTGAAATATGAATAAAATTTCTTGAAAATGAGCTAGAAGTTTTTTGTATATATAGATGAAGTAGAATTTAAAATATTCAGGTTTTTTTTTTTTTTTTTTTTTTTTTTTTGGTAAACTGAATATATACAAGAGGTTTGATCCATTTACTGTGGATGGGTAGAGTAGACTAAGGTACCCCTTGTATTATGGCGAAATTGTTAATTGATTTATCGCCAAGTTTTTTATCATTTATGGTAGCCCGAGTAGTTGAATGTTATGAGAACTCTATTGTGACGTAATCGGGTGCATGCTTCTGGGAAATTTTGAATCATGGGATTTTTTGTGGTGTGTGTTGGTTTGATTCTTTAGACGGTAAAATGGCCGAATGTAGTATTTAAGATTAATTTGAAGTTTCTGTATGATTTGGAGCGAAAGGGGAAAAAAGCTTTAATTGACTGGTGTGTAAATGAAGGTTTACTTAGTAGCCATTATAAGTGTCCTGTATGTAGGAAGGATATGCTTTTAGTCGAACGAAAAACTGTTTAGATGGGTTTGTAGGAAGAAAGGTTCAGATGGTCACTATGCAAAGCGTTCGATCAGAAAGAGCACCTGGTTTGAAAAAAGTCATTTGAGTATGATTGATATTTTGATTTTTACGTGGCTCTGGATGTTTAAATGTATAACATGTTTTTCCTTTTTTATGTTATTTTATTGTTTGGTTTAAAATGTATTTTATTGAGATTATGCTTTTTTGTTTGTCTATATTGTAGAATTTGGTGCTCCTTTGACTTTTTAAGTGAAAATATATCAATGTGTACATGGACAAAGTAAAGGGAGTGTTCAATGCAAGTTTGTGCAATTCTGGGATTTTTTTTTTTTTTTAAGTGAAAATAGGTTGACGTGTACATGGATAAAGTTAAAAGAGTGCACAATGCCATTTTTGTGCAATTCGGGGATTTTTTTTTAAAGTGAAAATAGGTTGACATGTACATGGATACCAAGTTTGTTCAATTGTTTGGCTTTGTGTAGCGGCAAAATAGCGAGTCAAAGAATTGCATAAAATCAGTATCCATGTACCGCCAAAAATCGCCAAGGGGTACCCTAAACTATACTTTTACCCTGTGGATAATAAAGCATTAAATACTATAAATTTTAGAAAAGAGACACTTTTGTAATAATTATTTTGTGGAGTATTGCGGTAAATCTTTTACATATCCCAAATTTATTCTTTATGTATTATTTTCTCTTAATATAAGATAAAAAAAAACTATTGTGTATTTACATTTTGACAATAAAAGCAATTGGTATTTATTTCATTTGAATTGAAAAGGAGGCTGATTTTATTTCCCAGTTAATTCAGTCTTGGGATAATTCCTGTTCAGTTAAATTATGTAATTATTTAGATTACTGTACTGAAATAAACATTTTATTATATTGATCAATATCTAAAACAAATACAGGTGCTTACTATGTATCAAAATTTCAGATATTACTTTTGATAGTTGATTACAGTAACTGAACAAAGTTGATTTTAGGCCAGCAAAATATAATAATCCTATTTAAAAAATGAAGTTATATATTAATATTCATATTATAGCTGTCTACAGATAGATGGATATTATATGCATACATATATATGTAATAATGAAAGCACAGGAAAAGGAAAAGACAGAACACTGTGGATGCGTAGTTATCCTATATTGAAGAGGAAGTAATCTGATTGCGTCGTAAGCTAATGTGTTGACTTCGTAAATAAACTTGGCAGTAGAAGCGATTTTAATTCCATTTTTATTTCCAATTGATATTTGTGGCCACAATTACTTGGCACTCTAGTCGTGCCTTTTCACAGAAGATTTACATTTTTGATATTGTTGGGATCGAAAGCAAGCCAGCGAAATTACATCTCAGCAGAGTAAAGAGCAAAGCTGAAGTGGGTAGTTATGAAAGGTAGAAGCACGCGAAGAGAAAAGTTTCGGTTTACAATTTGGTGATTGGTTGTCAAGAGGCATCTGGTATTAACGGTTACGTAAGATCGCATGATTAATTTGAATGACGCAATGCAGAGGAAGTTATTACTATTTTAGAATAGAGAGGAAGAATTAATGTTTATATTTACATTATAATTCTGATTCATATATTTTTATCTTACATATATATAGAGAGAGAGAGATTTAAACTTGCTTTTGAAGCAGGTGGATATCATGAATTTCCTTCATCCAGAACCAATTGATGATACATGAAGTAGTTTATTTTATTGCAACTTTATGTACATTAAAAAGTTGGCTGTGTTTCATAATTTTGTTCTTATGTTTATTGTTATATATCTATATCTTATCTTTAAAGTTCCACTGTTTATAAATTTACATATATAATATCTTCCATTTATGCGCTTTAGTTATGTTCATCCTGGTGCTAATACACAAGTTTTATATTTCGATGTAATTTTAATGGCAGATTATGTATATATAGTTAAAACCAAATTTTAACAAACCTTCCAAGAAGGGGGGCTGCAGAATTTATTAAATTCAAGTTATTTGCTAAATCAGGAACCATTAAAATAAAACTGAAATAAAAACTATATTAACATCAGGATGAACTTATATTTAAAGAGCATAAAAGGAAAATATTTTATATGTAAATTTATAAAAAAAATGGAATTTTAAAAATTCATTTTATGCAATAATTTATTATTTGGAAAAGAAATCAGATATTAACCCCTTTCCTACCATGATCCCGAACTGGGAATTTCTTGGTTATGCCTAGCTGGT